GGCCGCTCCGGCCAGGGCTGAGCTGCCCAGGCCTGGTTCTTGCTCTCCGGGCCAAGCTGGGCCAGGCTCGAGCCCCGCCTGGCGCACGCCCCTGGGCCGGTCGGGAAAGGCCAGCGCCGTGCCAAGGCCAACCGCCCTGACTCATCTGCGCCGGGCCCCCGCCCCACTGGTCAGCCCGGAGGGCGGATGGTCTCCAGGCGGGACTTCCTGGGGCAGAACCTCCCTGAGAGGAAGAGAATGAAGACCGGGCTGCCCCAAACCGGCCCAGGGCAGTGTCTGTGTTTTCGTGCCAGTCTGGCAGTTTCCAGGGACAGGCAGTTCTCTGCCGCCGCCCGTCAGAACTCTGGGAATGGGAGGGAGGGAGGCCCATTTTGTTCAGTTCTAAAAAGAAACCAAATAGGGGGCGGGAGTGTGACTTAGAGCAGAGAGGCAGAGAAGGCGGGGTGGTTGGTAAAAAGCTCTGTAGGTTCAGCCCGTAGGGAATAAAGGGAGAAAGGAATTCGCACCTGGAGCGTTTCACAGGCCCCGCGAGGGAATGTGTGAAACTGCCCCAGAGTGAAAATGCCCGTGGGAGATGCTCAAGAGCTACATAAAGTCTGAAGACTGGACAGTTGTGATGGACGTGGGGGAAGGTGGAGTTGAGAAAAGGATGTGGTTCAGCTCAGAAGTGGGGAAAGGTATTTTAGTTGAGGGTTTCTTAACTGATTGTGTGTGTGTGTGTGTGTGTGTGTGTGTGTGTTGGGGGACTGTTTTGATACGCAAAAGATTTGAGCTCATAGAGGCTCACCTCCTGTTTTGTTTTGGAGGATGGAGCCTTGACCTTCTTCATCTTGTGAAACCCAGACTCAGTTGCAGACTGTTTTGTGATATCAGAAAGCCACAGGAAAGACTTATGGGTACCTCTGGGAGGGTGGAGACGCTGACAGTTTTCAGGCACACCCCCCCCCCTTACCCACATGCCTCTGTCTGAATATTTATATTTTTGCCAGCCAGCCCCAGCCTTCAGTATTGTGTAAACACACTGCTTTGTTTCTGCCCCAGGGTGAAGGCCTCCACTTGCGCAGGGCAGGGGTGAGAAGGAGGAGCCTGTGTGGGCATCTGGAGCTTTCTGGTGGAGAGGGCAGTGGGGGTGGAATTACCTTATAAGGAGTGAAATATAGCAAAGCACGCAGGCCAGCTTCCTGCTTTGACTATACTACCTTTTGGGCCCTTTACCAACACCGACTAAAACCAGGGAAGAATGTCAGGTGAGCATCCTATCTGAGAAGATGCCAATAAGATCAAGGCACGAGTCTGCTTGTTTTCAGAAGAGGACTTTCTAGAATTTTCAAGCCGGATTAACTAGACCTTCTGGATTCCATAGTCTAAGTTGGGATGTGTTAGAATCTGTGCCCACTACACAGCCCAGAGAACTAGCAATCTAAGTGTCAACCAGGAATATTAGAAGTGATAGCAAGTCGTACGGACTGGGAACTCTTGAGTGGGTCTAAGTGTAACAGTGGCTTTGGGACATGGGCCGGCAGAGGCACCACACTAGTGATCTGAGATTCTGAATCCGGGTTTCCAGAGTTTATCGTCCTCCAGCGGGAGAGCTCAGCCTTTTCCACCTTGGCCTCCTTTGAGTCCTCATCAGTTCCAGAGCCTCGATGTCCCCATCCCTGTGCCTATAATCTCCCACTGATCTTCTACTTCCCCGATTTGTTAGTTTGCCTACAGATATTTGTCGTGTAACAACTCTGTCTGCAGCCCGTTCTGAGTGTATCCGAAGCTATAAAAGACTCTAGTTGGGGACAGAAAACACATTCCTGAAACAATTTGAAAACTTCATGGTGGAGTGGAGAGACCCAGGCTCCGTCACCTGTCAGATCCGAGCTCAAAGCCTGGCTCTGTCACATCCAGGCTGGGTGGCTGTGGGCAAGTCACTGATTATCTCAGTGTCCCAGGCTCCTCCCTTGTACAGTGGTCATGAGGGACAGAAATGGGTGTGTAAGGAGCCCAGTACCTAGGAGGCACTTGACAAGGTGGTTTATCATCACCATCACGTTGAGAGGTGAAGATCGGCCGAGGGGATCCAGCACACACCCACTGAGTGCAGGGTCCTATAACAGGGAAAGGGTTTCTGGAGTCACAGTTTGACTGGGGCCCTGACCTGTGAGGAGACCTATGAGGAAGGGAAGGTGCATCCCATCAGGGAAATGGCTAGAATAAGAGTATACACTGCTCCAGGGGGAGGACAGCGTGGTGGGATGGCTGGGCTGGAGGTCTCTGCAGGGCTGCAGCGACCAAAGGTGTTCCTTTAGCATCTCGTGTGTGCCTATTATGTGCCACGTGTCCGAAGGTTGTGGAAGTTCCAGTTTCGCTCTCTCAGAGCTCAGTGTCAGATAAACTGGAAATTAGAGAACCTTGTGGAAAGCAGAGTCCCCCTGGGCACTAAGTGAGCCCAGGGCGGGGTGGGCTGTAGCAGGGTGGGTGGCGCCCCAGCGCAGGCGCTTTTGGTTGAATGCACAGGGGGTGGTCTGTTCATTGGGAGGCACTGCCTTGTCTCTCCTCAGGGAGGAGCTGCCCCAAGCCTCACGCATCCTCCTTTCTTTCCCAAGGCTCTCTTTAGAAGGGTCCTCCTCCCACCTCATCATGTCTCGACGAAGCCAGCGCCTCACGCGCTACTCCCAGGGCGACGACGATGGCAGCAGCAGCAGCGGTGGCAGCTCGGTGATGGGGAGCCAGAGCACCCTGTTTAAAGATAGTCCTCTCAGGTAGGGGACCCCTGTGGATCGCACTGCCCTACAGAGCAGAAGGCTTGGGTAGATCACCGTGTGGCCTCTTCCTGTGGTGACCTTTGTGAATGGACATCACATCCAGTCAAAGGGGACGTTCACACCTGTGAGGAGGCCAGGACCCAGCACTGCTGCTGCTTCTCCCCCTTCTGTAAGCCAGGCTGCTGCCCTTGTGTTCAGAGAACAGGAAGTGGGGAGAGGCAGCTTCAAGAATGAGCCAGGCCGGAAACCCTGACACTGCAAGCTGGCTCCTAGGAACCCCTTCTGCTGTGGATGGGCGTGTCCATCTGGTCACCCTCCCCAGACCCACACCCATGTGTCTCACCATCTGTAGGGCCTCAGCTGGGCCGGCCAAGCAGCTGAGGAGAGGAGCAGGTCCCAGGGATGCCAGGAAAGGCGGGCGCCTGCCTCATCCTGCCCCCTTTGCAGACATGAGCCCCCATGGCAGCCCCCAAGGTGCTAGCTAGCTCTGGGAGGCCAGATCAGGTCTGCCTGGGTTTCCAGTGGGTTGAAGAAATTACTAATCCATTAAGAAACATGAGAAAAAACTTTGGCTTTGAAGTTGGTGGATTTGGGTCCTGGCTCTGTCACCTACTGACAGTCTCACCTAACTGCTGCTGAGATTTGGAGATAATGGGAACTGAGAAGGTACCTGTGCAGGCTCCTCTGCAGTCGTCATCGGGAGCTATTAGTTGCCTAGCAACAAGGCCAGCCCACTCACTACGGGAGGGCAGAGTGGCAGCGCCCCATTCCTGGCTTGCTCACCTGCCTGTCCCCCCTCCTCTCCTGCCTGACTACCCGCAGGACCCTGAAGAGGAAATCCAGCAGCGTGAAGCGCCTCTCCCCAGCACCGCAGCTGGGCCCCTCCTCCGACACACACACCTCCTACTACAGCGAGTCCCTGGTCAGGGAGTCCTACTTTGGCAGCCCCCGGGCAGCCTCCCTCGCCAGGAGCTCCATCCTCGACGACCAGCTGCACGGTGACCCCTACTGGAGTGAGTGTCCGGAGCCTTTCTCCTGGGGCTCGGCTACCTCTGGACACTTAAGGTCCCAGATGTGTGTTCTACGCCACCACCTCCCCCATGCCCCGTCCCTCTATACCTGTTCTCCCCTAACCCTGCCATGCTGCTTTCCTAACCACTACGGGGCCAGAGGAAGGCTCTCTGTCCTCAGAAACCCTTGGAAGAACAGCCAGGTGTCTGAACTTCAAGGTGATAAGGTAGCCACGAAGCTGCTCCAAAGCCAGGAGACGGTGGGGCGGGGCCCAGCTCACCCTCCAGGCCTGGGAGAGATGGGGAGAGGCCAAGGGCAGTTCCATCTGTCCATCGGAATTGCTCCTTAGTGTGTCCCCATGAGGCCCTCCGGAGCACCTTCCCCAGGCATCTCTGCCCCGGGAGAACCCTGCATTCTTCCTTCAGGTGAGGACCTGCGGGTGAGGAAGAGGAGAGGCACAGGTGGCACCGAGAGCAGCAAAATCAACGGGCTGGCGGAGACCAAGCTCTCCGAGGACTTCCTCGGGTCTTCTTCTGGCTACTCCTCTGAGGATGACTATGTAGGTAGGTGACGCCCTCCCCCACAGCCTCTGGGACTGCAGGAAGGGGACGGGAAGCCTGGGGAAGCACCCCTGGCAGCTGGAGAGAGCACAGTGTCCGGCGGGTGTCTCCGCAGACCAGCTGGTCATCCTTCCTGTGCCACCACGGCACCCTGAACCCCAACGCACTGGGCTGGGACTGCCCTGCCCCCAGTAGCACTGCAGCCAGCTCTTTTGTTTGGCTTGTTTCCAGCAAGCATTTTAACACGGGCTTCACACAGAGAAAGTGCCTGATCCCTCGGTCCCGTTCTGAACGGTGGTTGAGGGACTGCCCGTGAGCATAGGGACGCAGGCAAAGGGCTCAGGGAAAATCCAACGTAAGAAACCTATCGTTTTGTCTACGGCCATGCTACCCTGAACAAGCCCAATCCTGTCTGATCTTGGAAGCTAAGCAGGGTCGGGCCTGGTTAGTACTTGGATGGGAGACTACCTAGGAAGACCAGGTGCTGTAGGCTTTAAAAATGAAGGATTGTAAGCCGACAAAGTCCTTGCAATCTGTGAGGTCAACCAAGGGTTGCCTCGCCTTGAAAAAGAAAAAAGAAACCTATCGCCTTGTTCCTTTAGCAGACAATTACTGATCTAATAGGTGCCAGGCCTGTGTGACACCCTGGGAATGTCAAGGAGAATGATATGTTGTCTCAGGTCACATCTAAGGGAGAAGACAATAGACGTTCTCCATGTCTCAGGGCCCTTCAGAGCGAGGACAGGCTGAGCTGGTTTCCTCTGTCCCTGCAGGATACTCGGAGACGGACCAGTGGGCTTCAGGCTCTCGGCTGGGGAGTGCTGTCTCTCAAGCAGGCTCTTTTTTCTGGACGTTGGTCACTTTTCCAGGTGAGTGCTAGCTGCTCTGTGCACGGTTGTTTCTGTTCTTAAAGCACTCACTTCTCACCCATCTGTAGATGGGCGGCCAGCCCACGCAGAGAGACTAGGATCAGCAGGGAAAGCTCATTCTAGATTAACCGCTGGGCACAAGAGCTGTGGGCAGATCCTGTCCTGGATGGGCAGGGGGAGCTGTGGAGCAGGGTAGAGGGTGTTGGCAGAGTGGGCAGGGGAAGGAGAGCAATGGGTAGCCGTGGGACAGGCCAGCTGGGAGGACTGCGGTAGAGGGAGAGCAGTGCTCTGAAACCACAACCCGCAGGCCACCGGCTCAGGGTGACACTTAGGTCTGACGGTCCCCCTTCCAGCCCGGCTCTTCGGACTCCTCTACTGGTGGGTTGGCACCACCTGGTACCGCCTGACGACAGCCGCCTCCCTCCTCGACGTCTTCGTTTTAACCAGGTGAGCGAGAGTCCAGACAGTGAATCGGAAAGCCCCGGACGAAAGTCCCAGACAAGCCTGGCCGCCTCCTGCTGGTCAGGCCTTAGGCTCAGGCCAGCCAGCAGTGTCTCCCAGAACAGCGAGCTTCCCTCTCAGCCCTGTGACAGCGTAGACCCCAGTGTTCCTGCCTCGCGTTCCGGCGCTGCCTGAGGACGCTGTGGGTTTGTTCCCCAAGGGCCTGACCCAGCAGAGCCAGGATTGGGGAACTGGCTCATTGGCAGGGGAGAGAAGACTGAGGTGGGCAGCCAGGGCCCCTCTGGCCATAAGCTTGGTTTGAGTGGGCATCGAACTATGCTGTGAAGAGGGGCAAAGATGGATTCGTGTCACCAAAGAAAGGTGTCCTCGTTTTTCTAAAAAGAAAACATTTGCTTAAGGGGTTCCATAGTTTTTCTATGTTCACTTGCCTGGAAGACCTCTAGATATGAACATTTTAGTTTTTTTTTTTCCAAAGATCCCACTACTTGCTTTTAACAACATCAGTAAAATTCACAATCATGATTGTCTCCATTACACTCAGACCTGTAAAGCTCTAAAGCGTCCAGTCCGGCCCTGGTGAGATGAGGTGCTCAAGGCTGTCCCCATCGACTCTGGTTTAGCACTCAGGAAAAGTCTTAAGGGACTCCCTGGGGAAGCCGAGAGGCCCTGGGGCCCTCCTGACACTCCCGCCCTCCCCTCCCTCCCCTCCCTCCAGGCGCTTCTCACACACAAAGGCGTTCCTGTGGTTCCTCCTGCTGCTGCTGCTCCTGACCAGCCTGACCTACGGTGAGCCGAGCCGACCCGCTCTCGCGGGGACGGGGTACAAGGGCCTCCGAGACGGGGCTGGTGAGCCAGAGGGCCGGGCAGAGTGGGCGGAGGCTGCGCTGAGCAGAACTGAAAGCTGCAGTTCTGGAGGGCTGGCAGTCTCCCACAAGAAAGGGAAGGAGGCAGGAAAGTGGGGCTAGCCTGAGCACCCCCCGAGCCCTGAGCCCGAGGCCACCCCTGCATTCTCGGGGTGTCCAGTGGGTGAAAGGGGAAACGCCCTGACCCACTGATCACGCCCTCAGTTTGGGTAGCTACACTATGCTGCCTGGCGTGCCTAGAGCATCCTTGGAGCCACCTGGGCCAGAACAGGCCCCAGTACAGGAGTGCTGAGGTAAAAAGCAGGGACCGGGACTCTGTTACTAGCAGGCATTTTCCCTCCATTCCAAACCAGGACACCGTCTGGGTGAGTGAATCATTGTACTCTGTTCTGGGGCCACATACAGCCTCTCTGGTGGGGATTCTCAACCATGGCAGCCCATTCAAGTCACCCGGGAAGCTTTTAAAACACTTTCGGAGGGTATCCCCAGACCAGCGAACTCAATCTCGGGAAGCAGGACCAGAAGCTACGTGTTTTAAAAGCTCCCTGGTGATTCTGATGTAGTCTGGGCTGAGAACCACCCCCGGGGCCTCCGGGTCCTACCCCTGCATTGTCCCTAGTTTTTTCGTTTTCTCCAAGTTTGGCCATCTACAGAAAGGTGATTCCGGAGGAGACGTGAGAGTGCATTCAGTCTGGGGCTGTCAGGTGCAAGATGCTGCCTCAGAGAGGCAATGGGGACCGCCCTCCCTCATGCCGCCTGCGGGCAAAAGCACAGCTCACACGAACAGGCTCCTGGGAGCCAACATCGATCAGGCCGCCGTCCTCACCATGTCACCCCCGTGCTCACATCCCCCGCCTGAGTACCACCCTCTCCCTGTGTGCAGGCGCTTGGTATTTCTACCCCTATGGGCTGCAGACGTTCTATCCTGCTGTGGTTTCCTGGTGGGCAGCGAAGGGCAGCGGCCGGCAGCATGAGGCGTGGGAGTCCAGAGACTCGTCCCCACATTTCCAGGTGCGTAATTTTGGGTCGGGTCGCAGGTCCCTCCATCTGCCTGTGTTTGCAGTTAGTTTCTCTACCCGTACACCTGACACACACAGGTGAAGAGGTGTTGTCCTAGCTGGAACACCACCTCATCTCCCTCTCTCTGTCATTCGGAGTGTACGTATTTGGGGGCAGTTTGCTTAAATATGACTCAGAACTGTCCCAGAGTTAGTTGCCATCCTGAGAAGCACAGAGAACAGAAGGAAAAGGAATCAGACAAATCATCTTGTCTGCTTTGTTCCTTTCAACATAATTTCACAGATATTTACTGAGCACCTTCTACGAATAAGGTAATATCCCGGTCAGTTACCTATTAGCACAGATAAACCACTCCTAAAATCAGTGCCTGCAAAGTACAAGCGTTTGATTAGCTCATGAGTCTGCGGGTCCTGTGGCGGGCTCTTCTGTCTGAGCAGGGACAGGCTGGCCGTGGCTGGGCTCCCTCGTGTGTCTGCAGCTGGCTGGCAGATCCGCTGGCCAGGCTGTATACTCCACCTGCGTTTCCGTCACCCAGCAGGGTAGCCCAGGCTTGTTCTCACAGCAGCCGAGCAAGGTTCCGAGAGAGCAGAAACAGGCCAGGCTTTTGAGGCCTGGATTCAGAACTAGCACGTTGTCACTTCTGCCGCCTTTTGTCGGCCTAAGCAAACCCCAAAGCCAGTCCAGATTCAAAGAGGAGAAACGGATTCCACCTCTCGATGGGAGAACCTGCAAGGCCCCATCACACGGCGCAGGGTGGAGGGAAGGATACCGCCGTTTTTGCAGTCTTCCAGAGGCTGAAGATGAAACGTGTCTAGGCCGTGCCCTCAAGGAGCCTGCAGTCTGGTGGGGGTGGCAAGTGCACAAATAACCAGAATGTGTGTGTGCAGGTCCTGGGGTCCATGATGAACGTTTAAAACTCTTTACCCCCTAATTATAGTTATTTAACTCTGCTGATATCTTGCTGAATTTAATTTGGTATCATATTTTTGGGGGGTATCACATTTTTAAACATTTATTTTGGGTGATAATACTTTCCTGCCTATAATCTTCTTATATCATAAAATGACAGTCTAGCATTTATAATTTTTCTTTTTTAATTATTAGTGAAGACATTCAATACAATTCAATTTCAAGATCACTTTTTTTATAAAAAAGGAAGAGCGAATGTATCTTTGTATTTACTTACATTTGCATAAAGACACTAATAAAAATAGTTGCCTGGTTTGGGAGGGGGTGGTGATGAGGGCACTGGGTGGATGGGGCAGAGATTAGGAGCATGACTTTTTGCTGTTTGTTTGCTTTTTGAATCATGCACATGCACAGCCTATTTTTAAAATGGAATTTTTTAAAATCAGAAGCAACCTCTGTACCCATTCGGCCCCTGTCATTTAACTGATAGTTGACAGACTGCGTTTTATGATCTCTCTTGGCAAAGATTGTCATTGTTAAGTCAACAAGGTTCTCAAAATTCATGACACGCTATCAAATGCCACCCTCAAGTCCAGTGACTTGTTGTATTTTGTCTTCTCTGTGAGGCATCCAATTAAAGATGAAAGAGAAAGCCCTTTTCAGTTATTTTCTTTTAGCTAGTTATTGTTGGGAGAAGTGGAAGCTGTTGAAAGTCAGCAGCTGAATCTCAGTCCCATATTCTCCCACACACATAGGAGAGAGAAGGGGTGGGCTCCGCCCCGCAGGTCACCTGGCCCCCTGTGGCCATTCTGTGGCTTCTTCCTGTCCTCTTTTTGGACTCTCCTTCCATTCGGACCCTCTTCTGGGAGGGCACTGGGCCATCTCACCCGGCCCCTGTGGGCTGCTTCTTGGGGCCCAGACGGCTTCAGCCCCACGTGGCCCGGTACACCCCGTGCTTTGCTGTCAGCACGCTCACCGCGCCCATTTCCTGCCGATGGACTCACTCACCTGCAGGGCAGGGGGACTGTCCTGAGAGCCCAGACCCAGCGTGTGTCCACATTTGGGCGTGTCTGGGGTTCTCTTCCGTTTGTCTTCAGGAAGCACCGTGGTCATGGCTCCCTCACCTCTGTGGCTTTTCCCTCCCTGCCCCGCCAGGCTGAGCAGCGCATTCTGTCCAGGGTACACTCTCTGGAACGACGCCTGGAAGCGCTTGCTGCCGAATTTTCCTCCAACTGGCAGAAGGAGGCCATGCGCCTGGAACGCCTGGAGCTGCGGCAGGGGACCGCTGGTGAGGGCGGCGGCGGCGGCCTGAGCCATGAGGACACCCTGGCGCTCCTGGAGGGGCTGGTGAGCCGCCGCGAGGCTGCCCTGAAGGAGGACTTCCGCCGGGACACCGCCACCCAGATCCAGGTGCGGGAGACGAGCTGCGGTCTCCCCAGGCAGCAGCTGAGGGTCAAATGTGGGTGACACCGTGGGCATGTGGGGTGGAGGGGGCGAGACCCTGCACACACTGACGAGAGAGACGGCCCTGCCATTTGGCAGTTACCTTCTGTAAGCCTTAGTTTCTCCTTCTTTAAAATGGAGACGCTTGTCCGCTGCCCCTGCCCCGGCCGTGAGCACATGAGACTGTAGCATTGCCGGCACAGCGCCCAACACCACACAGGTGCTCAGTGAGGATCACGGGGCGGCTTGCCCATTTCTAGGACGCACTGCAGCAGAAAGGCCATGAGCTGAAAGTTGCTATCAAATGGGCCGGTTCAAATTCCAGTCACACCACTTATAGGTGGTAAGTGGCCCTCTGAGCATGACTCAGGAAAATCCTCTCTCCTGTGCCCGGCAGGAAGAACTGGTCACCCTGAGAGCAGAACATCAACAAGACTCAGAAGACCTGTTCAAGAAGATTGTCCAGGCCTCCCAGGTGAGTGGGCTTGTGTGGAGCCCTGATCCAATTCAACATCTGCTCTTGGGCTGAGAGACACCTTGGCCTCCTGAAGAGTCTGCTTGGATGTAGAGTGGGGCGGGGATGTGTAGTCTCCTGACTTCTGCTTGTACTGGACCCCCCTGGGCTGGAATGCTCTGCAGGAACGCATTGGGAGCGTGCTTGAGGACAGGAAGGGCCACTTTCAAGAGGTCTGTTTTGTTGAGTGTAACACGCCCAACGAATGAGCACACATATGAATGTCTAAGTGCACCGGAAACAGGGTGAGATACTCATAAGGAGCTTGACCAGAAGGCCAGCTTCACATTTGCTGGAGCAGTTGGGAGCCCTTGGGGCATGGGTGTGGTTAATAAGCAAAGACCCCCAAAGGGAACAGATCCTGCCCTGGGAGGCCGACCCCTTGGAGCCTGACGTTGCATGTATTTATCTTTCCTTCCTGCTCACAGGAGTCCGAGGCTCAACTCCAACACCTGAAGTCCGAGTGGCACAGGTAATGGGCCCTGCAGTCTGGCCTAGGCCTGTCCCTCCACCCAGTTGCCCACCCCCCACCTCAGGCAGGACCAGGGACCAGAGTCCCAGAGCAGAGTTCTGTAGGTGTCCCAAGCAGAGAGCGAGACGGCCAAAACCTAGCTCAGGACCATGAGCAGAGCTGGAGTGCAGTGGAGGCTGCACTGCAAGAGATTTGGGATTCGTGGGTTCACATACAGACACCATCTTTTCTGTACAACCTCACGCCCTAGACATCGGGTGAGGGTGTGAGCGGCCGAGGCAGAGTGAATGATGGATCTGGGCTTGGGGAGCAGGATAAGAATTCGCTCCCTGGCACAGGCAAGACCCGGGGCTGTGTTCACAGCCAGGATCATCAAGAGCAGGCCTTGCCTTCACCTGTAGGCGGTGGGCGCACATTACCAGGAGCCAACGAGGGGTTCCTCGTGCTTTCCTCAGCATGGCCCTACCCCTCTCCAGAGATCCAAAGCTTACGCTTCTCTCTTTGGGAGTAGGATGACCCAGGAGTCCTTCAAGGAGAGCTTCATGAAGGAGCTGGGGCGGCTGGAGGGCCAGCTGGCAGGCCTGCGGCAGGAGCTGGCGGCACTGACCCTGAAGCAGAGCTCGGTGGCAGACCAAGTGGGCCTGCTGCCCCAGCAGCTCCAGGCCATGCGGGACGACGTGAGTTGGAACCATCCAAGTCTCCTGCTAGATGCGCTGGGCTCTGAGACCGTCTGTCCTAGGAGTCTGCCCAGGGCAGAAACAGCCTGTTAGTCCCACAAGCCCTGGCCTTGGACTTGGCACAGGGCTTCCTGTGACGGGAGTTCTTCTATTGATAACATGGAGAGTTGTCCATAGCTCTTTCTTCCATGTGGCCCTCATAGGCCTTCACTCCTTCCTTGCCCCTCTACCCAAGCCAGGGACCGTCCCTGCCGGCCTCCCATAGTGAGACCTTTTCTCTGTCCCTAGGTAGAGTCTCAGTTCCCTGCCTGGGTCAGTCAGTTCCTGCTCCAAGGTGGGGGAACCCGCACTGGGCTCCTGCAGCGAGAAGAGATGCAAGCTCAGCTGCGGGAGCTGGAGAGCAAGGTCCTCGCCCACGTGGCTGAGATGCAGGGCAAGTCGGCGAGGGAGGCCGCAGCCATCCTGGGGCGGACGCTGCAGAAGGAAGGCGTGATCGGGGTGACAGAGGAGGTGAGGAACTGTGCGCCGGGACTCCCCTAATTCCACACACACTCTGCTCTCCTCCCTGGAGAGCACCCCCCCACACACACACTGCCAGCTCCCTGCTATGTTCCAGGACCCAAGTGACATGCAGGAGGCTCCGATGTTTGTTTTGGGGCTGGTATGGGAGGGTGGAGGTATGCCTGGGTGTGGCATGTGTGCCTGGACAGCAGGCATAGGAGGGGTCAGCCCATGTGTCCCTGGCCCCCAGCATTGGAGGTGCAAGGGTGGCCAAGTCTGCATCCTGTCACAACTGCTCCGGGTGCTTGTTTTAGGAGGTGCACCGCATTGTCAACCAGGCCCTGAAGCGCTACAGCGAGGACCGCATCGGGATGGTGGACTACGCGCTGGAGTCGGGAGGTGTGTGTGCCGCTCTCCGCCCTTGGCCGAACCTGGGTCTCCGCACTAGCTGGCCCTCTGGCACCTGCTGGGCCAGCTGTGCCGCTAGGCAAGCAGGGCTTATCGACAGAAGTCCCCCAGCCTAGAACTCACAGCAAAGGCGAGCAACAGCCCCGGGAAGGCAGGACCAGCACCATCCTTGGACAGCACAGGCTGATGTTCACAGCTGTTCTGTGGCCTGGGTTAGGTGTACAGAGGGGCCTGGGGCGTCTGCCCATATCCTCTTGTACTAGTGGACCCTCCTTGGGCTGCCTCAGCCCTTTAAGCCTGGGGCCCTCTTGGCTGTCGAGCTGAGATGGTTGTTGGGTCTCCCCTGCTGATGTCCAGGCCACAGGTGCCCACACCACCTTTCTTACCTGCCTCAGGGGCCAGTGTTATCAGCACCCGATGTTCCGAGACCTACGAGACTAAGACGGCCCTCCTCAGCCTCTTTGGTATTCCCCTGTGGTACCACTCCCAGTCGCCTCGAGTCATCCTCCAGGTAGGTACCCGGCAAGGGTCATCGAGTGCCCTGAGCACAGTCACCTATGTAGCTGGGTCACTGTCCCACCCACAGTCAGCTGGTGCTGCACTCAAGGAGGGGTCTTCATCACCAGCCCTGCGCTGACCTGACTTCCTTCCCCTCCAGCCAGACGTGCACCCAGGCAACTGCTGGGCCTTCCAGGGGCCCCAGGGCTTTGCTGTGGTTCGCCTTTCTGCCCTTATCCGCCCCACTGCCGTCACCTTAGAGCACGTGCCTAAATCCTTGTCGCCCAACAGCACCATCTCCAGTGCCCCCAAGGACTTTGCTGTCTTTGTGAGTATCCCATCTGTGCGGGCCGGAGGGCTGCAGAAAGATCCCGGGGGCCTGTACTTCCAATAAAGTTGGGGTCATTCTTTGGCTCGGGGGAGGGGATCAGACTTGGAAGAGATGGCGCCAGGGTGGGAAATGGCACCTCAGTCCCAGCTGCCTCAGGCTGTGGAGGCAGAAACCGAGGCCTAAGGAGCTAAGTGACTTGTCACAGAGCACACAGCAGCCCCGTATCCAGTGCTCAGGCCCCCTGCTGTCCCACCAGGGTGGGAGGGGACCAGAGTGAGGATGAGAGTGGCCAGGGCATGTGTCTGAGCAGAATCTTTCCTCCATCCTTCACTCTTCAGGGGCTTGATGAAGAGCTGCAGCAAGAGGGGATGCTGCTTGGCCAGTTCACGTACGACCAGGATGGGGAGCCCATCCAGACGTTTCATTTCCAGGTAGGGGATGGCTGTGCTAGCAGAGGCAGCATTCTCATTTCCCATCCATTCAGCAGATGTTTTCTGAGCAACGACCCTGTGCCAAGAACTAGGGGTCTAGAGCAGGAGACCGCAGCCCCTGCCCTCAGGCAGCTCACGGTGTGGGGCAGACGGCTCTCTGCGGTGGCCCAAGCAGATACCAGCACAGGGGAGGGGCCCCTTCCAGATAGGGTGTTGGGGAAGGCTGCTGGGAAGGACAGGTGTCTGAATGCGTGTGGCCCACCAGGTCTCAGGCAGTACAGTGTGCGGCCACTCAACTTGAGTAGGCCTCAGCGTTCCAGGCCCTTGTTGAAAATGCAGAGTCCCAGTCTCTACCCCTTAGGGCCGCTGGGATCCAGGAATCTGCGTTGACAAACAGCCCAGATGAACTGATGGAGGTGGCCTCTGAGCTCCGTCGGGGGGTGAGGGCTTGGAATACACTAGTGAGGATTGGGCGAGGTGGGGGAGGTGGGAGGTGAAGGGACAGTGGCACGAAAAAGGCCAGAGAGGCAGGCTGGGCTACTAGGCAAAAGGATTTCAGCCCTTGGAGCTGGGGTGGGGGTACGGGGCGGACATTGCTGTTTTAGACAGAGAAGTGACAATATGATTATGGTAAAATCACTGTGACCGTGTGGGAATGGTGAGTCTAACGGGGACAAACCTGGAGACCAGGGGACTGGCCAGAACTGAGGTCCAGAGGGTGTTGGGAGTGTGGGTGAGGAGGCAGCGAGACAGTTGGGGGCACCCTGAAGTCCGGTTGGATGGGAGCAGGGAAGGAGGTGGAGGTGAGGGAAGCTGAGAGAGAAGCTAGAACAGAGGCAGCAGCAGGTTTGGCCACTGAGGTGGTGGGACAGTCCAGTGGAGCCGTCATGGGGACAGACCGAGCTGTGAGGTCTGAGGTGGTAACAGAGCCATGGGAGTAGTTGGGACTTCGCAGGGACGTGTGTGGACTGAGTCTTTAGGAGAGGGGTGGACAAGAGGCTGCCAAGAGACTGCCTGGGAAGGCTGGAGGGGGAGGACGAGCAGGAAGGCACTGTGCCTGGCGAGTCAGAGGTGAGATTTGCTCCAAAAGCTGACTCAAAAATTGTGGCTTTTTGAGCATAGAGGACAGAGACCTGATGGGAACTTGCAGAAGAAGAAATTCTGCTTAGTTCAGAGAAAAGGGATTCTTTTCCAACATCTCACAGCAAATCTTCTGTGAAGGTAGTTCTGTCTGTTGACAGTAATGATCAAGACTTCTGTGAACGCGTCAGCTACAAAGCCATTTTTATGTGGCCCTGGGTGGGTGGCCCCAGTAGGACCTCTGAACCCTCTGGGGCTCCTTGGCCCACCAGCTGGAAACTCTCCTGCAGGGTTTGAAGACAGGAGCTTTGGAGCCCCGTTCTCTGCAGAGGCCCAGGGGAGCGGGACATCTGGCCCCAGGGGTGGCATCGCCCCTCCTGCCTGCCGTCAGGTCTGAGGGCTCTGACACGCCTGATGTCTTCCTTCTCTACCCAGAAACCGACAGTGGCCACGTACCAGGTGGTGGAGCTGCGGATCCTGACTAACTGGGGCCACCCCGAGTACACCTGCGTCTATCGCTTCAGGGTGCACGGGGAGCCTGCCCACTAGGCCTTTCCAAGCCCTGCAGCAGCTGGGAGGCCAGCCCCTCAGCACGTACCCTCCTCTCTGGGAGTGGGAGAGCAGCGCCTCTGCCACCTCCCCACACGCTTGATTCGCGCATTGACTCCAGGAGCAAGACCGCCTGGCCCAATGGAGATGAGAAATGCAGGGCTTTCCTGGCAGTGGGGCGGCAGGAGGGGGACAGCAGGCTCCAGCATCTTGGTTCTCCGTTCTCCTCATGCCAGGCGCTAGGCAGCCACTTCCCCCTCAAGGGAGGGTGTATATATGTAGCATATCCTATGGGACTGAGAGGCAGGAGAGGTGACGAGTGCACAAGTTCCGGCAGTGGTGGCTGAGACCCTTGCCCATGGTGGAGGAGTTGGCACCCAGAAAGCTGTTGGGAGGTGTGTGCATGATGCACATGCCAAAGCCACGGCTGGGACAAGCTAGGGCCTGGGGCAGGGAAGTGAGGCCTCTAGGAGGAGGGTGCTCACCACACAGGCTGGACTGGGCAGCAGGCAGGAAGCTCCTGGTGGAGGGCAGCTGGGTTTTTCCAGAAGTGCCATCAACCTAGGGGATCTTGGTCCACAAGGTCCTCCAAGGTCTCCTGTGCACTGTTTGTCCTAGGCCCTGGAGGGTCTGGCTCCTGTGAGACACTGAGGAGCCTGGGGGCCAGCCTGTAGGATACCCCCTACTGGGGATACTAGTTGCTTTTCCTTTTCAGATGCTGGGACTGGGGGTACCTGTGCCCCGGAGAAAGCTTGCCACATTCCCCCAGGGTGCAGGGAGCCCAGACCTGTCCTTTGAGGCAGTAAGCATCAGGTCAGCTAAAACAGTGGGAGGAGGGGACTCCCTAGGCTCTCCTAGTGGCCCAGTGATAACAAGTGATATTCAGGTGTCATGATGGGAGGAGGTCTGTGCACTGCGGGCCCCGCCCCATCCCCATCACAATCAGGTCCCCCTGTAAGGGGCCCTCGCCCTCAGCTGCCCCCTTGGGGCTCTTTCAGCTCTTGCCTAATTGTTTTCTTTCTGGCTTTTTTTCTATGGGGAGCTGGGGTGGGGGGACTAGGTAGGAAGAGGGCCTGAGGCAGGGGCTTTTTAACCCAGCAGGCCCTGCTATGTTGTAAATATTTTTCATGGTCTGTTTTTTTTAACTAAAAAGCTAAGAGCTTGATTCTTAGCCCCGTTCTGTGGGGCACTGGGTGACTTCAGTTCCTTGTAACCCGGCTGCCATGCAGGCAGGTACCCTGAGGAACAGGGCTGGGCCCTGAAGGGGCTTCTGTGGGATGGAGCTGAATGGAGGCGAGGCCGCAGGCCACCCTGTGCTCCTCCAGCGCGAGCCCCTGCACGGCCTTTGCTCTCAGACAACCAGGTTTTATTTTGTGCTCTTCTGTCACAAATGCTGCACTATTGGATTCTCAATTTTTTGTCTCCAGATTCTAATTTATGCCTATGCAAAAAATAAATTATGCCCAGGACTAATGGAGTATGTGATGTTTTATCTGGCTATCGCCCAGAGAATCTGCTCTTGGGGAAAAATGAATTCTTAGCCAAAATAGTACCTCAAAGACTTCTATTTTAGAAACCTTGGGCCTCTCAGCTAAAACTCAGAGGTGATGCGTTTGTGGGGGGAAAGGGGGTTGGGGCGGCGGCTGAGGGAGGCCCTGCTCCGGTGATTCTGGGCTCAAGGGTCGGCAGGAGAAAGTGAGGTGGCCTTATTAGCCAACACTGACATCCCATTACAACGCAGGAGGCTTTTCCTGTCTCAGTGCCATTTGAGTAGAAGATGGGGCAAGTTACCTGCTTCTCTAGTGACCACATCTGCCTTCAGAGCTGCGCTGCTCTGTGGCAGTTAGACATTTGCCCCTTGTACCTGTGCTGGGATGGGACAAGGAGGTGGGTCCCCTGAAGAACCAGAACCTGCCAGCTCGGGAGCAGGTCCTGGCCCTTCCCCACAAATACCTCCCCAGATTCAGTGTAACCAGCTGCTCAAAGGGCCAGGGGCAGCGCCCCAACTGGCCTCTTGTCCTGACCATGACACCTGGCCTAGGGCCAGTCCCCAGCACAGCTTAAAAAATAAAGGCAGGAAA